GTATGTAATGTATGATTTATATCATGTTATGTTTCTAAATGATGATTTTTTGTGAAAGTGGATCCTATGGAAATAATGCTACTATCTATCAACGTTCATGAAAAGAATGAGAGTGAAGGATAGCTCAAATGGTTAGAGCTTCCCTCTCGATTCCAGGAGAGCCTGAGATCGATTCTCACCCCGTCCTTGTGGCTCTCTAAACACCAAAAAAATTCATAAAAAGAATACTACTATCTATCAACATTCATGAATAGAATGCTACATAATCTTGTGTTTCTCATGTCTTTGATTTCTTTCAATTATTTTTTTTGGTGAAGTTTGATTTAAAATAAGAGGGGAAAAAATATATAATAAACCATCTAAGCCACATGTTACTCCCTCCGTTTCAAAATGATGATCCTGTTTTGTTAATCGATGTAAATTTTTACCCAACTTTGACCGCAAATATCTTTAATCTCACAATAGCAAAAATTATAAAAGTTAGATATTAATAATCTACTCACCAAGACGAATCAAACTAGATACCACATGACTATATTTATTCTTATAGATTAAGAGAAATTTAGAAGATTCTCTCTTTCTTAAAAAAGTCAAAGATTTCAAACAGGAACATCATTGTGAAACAGAGGGAGTATTTTAGAAGAATAAGTTTTGCATAAGACCGAATTTAATTTGAGGCCCCGTTCACTTCACCTTTTTTTTGCTGAACTTCAATTATTTTTACTGTGTTTCAAAAAAAAAAAAATTTATTTTTACTGAACTTAAATTAATTTTACTGAACTGAAATTATTTTTGCTGAACTGTTATTTTTACTGATTTTATAATTCTTATTTAAGAAAACTGAATCTTACTGAATTGAACTTATTTTTACTGAACTAAAATTATTTTTACTAAACTAAAATTAATTTTACTTAACTGAACTTATTTTTACTGAACTAAACTTATTTTTACTTAATTTTATTTTTGTAAGGTGAAGTGAACAGGGCATGAGTCTAATATATACTTCGTATGACCTTAGTAATCTAATTTTCTTCAAAAAAAAAAAAAGTAATCTAATATTTGGCATTTTTTTAACTTAATATGTGACATTAGTAATCCAACATGAGAAATCTAATATCTGGCTTTTTTTCAATAAGTCTTGTGCAAGACGGATTTACGTTACTTTTATTGTCAAATGGTCAGTTTGAAGGTAAGTTTAACTATTTTTATGGTAACTTTAATCACTTAAATGGTAACTTTTAATTTGTCGTTGGTTTAAATTTTATTTTAATGTGTAATTTCTTATAGATTCATGATCACAAAGTGCAAAGGCAAGTATGAGTAATCTAATACATTATAAATTTTTTATAACTTAAAATTTATTATTAGAAAAATAATAGTAACTTTGTAATATAAAGGGTACCTTTATATACTTTTATGATAACTTTAACTCGTCTTATAATAAATTAACGTACACTTGTCTTTTTGGAGAATTTGTAAATAATCTAATAATCTAATATCAGATATTAGATATATTGGACTCACCATGAGTCTAATTCACCCATTTTTTTTTTTTTTTTTTTTCGATTTTAGAATCAATAACATGAAACAAGTCTGTTAGTATTTTTTAGTTGACACGTTTATACTTTACTTATTATCCACTAATTCTACCCTAACTAGCTTTTGTAATTTATTAATTAGAATAATTGTCATGTGAAATTTATCCTATCTCAATGTATATTTTCAAAGTATCACTACTACAAATCCCGTGATTTCTGGACGCTTTACTCTCGACGCTGGCCTCTTAGCGTCAACATGAAATTGTAAACTCCGTGTTTAGTCGACGCATTTTCTAGTCTAGAAATTTGTGGACAATGAAAGGCGTCGAGGATTCTACATGCTTTGCACGTGACCATAATTTTCAGCCCACTCAAAAGTTAACCGCCCTTCTACACAAAATAACCCCTGTAAACTCTCTGATTCTTTCACAACGAACCCTAATTCGCCGCCAACCCTTCTCCAATCTTCACATTTCATCTCTAAAGACATCGAGAGATTCCGTGAATTCGGCTAGAAAACTGTGAAAATCGCATCTCTTCGTCAATATCGCCAACTCAATTCATGTTGTAGTAACATCCTTGCTGTTGTTATCGATTGATTTTGCTAGTTTTTTGCTTATATCTCATTGAAATTTCTTTTATTTATCTTGATATGTGGTTTCTTTTTGTTCAAATGAATCTAAATTTATTTTAATGTTGTGTTTTTCTACCGATTGTTTTTGGTTCTTTGGGATTTATCGGTTGAAATTGTGTTACAATGGGACAGATAAGTTTTCAATATGAAGCTTCAATGATGCTCCAATATCGTCTAATTATAAGAGGTATTGAATTTTTTCCCCTCTCAAGTTTACATTTTTAGGATTTTTAAAAGTAATTTATCTTAAGTTCAAATTTTTCCAGATCATGTTGTTGAAGTTGTTCTAGGTTCAATTTTTTTTTTTCTTTTTTTCCTCTCATTTTCAATTCATTGTGTTATAAATAATCCGATTTTTGCATTTGTACTTCAATTCGTACAATTAAAAAAATTCCCAATTTTTGTTTTGTACTAATAGCTTCAGTCTCCTCCGATCCACCTCTTGCACATCGCACAACTTCCGACGCTGCTTGCTACAATATCTTGGAGTTATTAATTAAGATATATTGAGTCAAATTTATCATTTTAGTTATCTCATAATCGTTCTGATAGTATGATCCTTTGTTTTCGTATTCTTTGTAACTTAACTAGTAACAGAGATATTCCCTCTTCTTTCTTGATCTGTTGGGTGTTATTATCTCTGAAATTGTGTAGATTAGGCTTGAATTTCCTGGGATTTAACTAATCAGGTGGTTGTTAGTTTAATCTTGTGAAGATGGGGTGAAGAAAGCTTGGGGTGGGTAAGGTGTGATTGATATAGTGGGAAAGTTGAGTTCTTTGGGAAGCAAGTTAATGGACTTGGGGCTCCAAATTGAACAAGCAGAAACAACCACTCTCGAAAAAAATAAGGTGGAATTTAAATATTGTACCATTTTACATGATTATTTAGAGTCTTAGAGATATATTGATGCATTATTTATCCGGTTTGTCTTAGCAATTAACTTGCATGAAAACTGCTGTTTATGGTTGAAATGCACTGTAATTGTTCAGACGTTAATAAGCTTTATTTAAACTAGAAACTGCAGAAACACCATGTAGATGATTGCCTTCTTTCTAGTTTTAATTTTCGCGAAAATGCAAAGCTCCACTATGAAACAAATGGCCTACATGTATCATGGAAATTAGCAGTGAACTTGTATATTTTATTTTGCTGTATAGTGCATGCATTCTTCAAGTGAGGTTTAATTGCAGCAAATTAGAATGATTGATACTGATGATGACATTTCTTGGTGCAATATTTTTAGTTGGGTTTAGCTTGTAATATTGTTCATTAAGGTAGTGATAGAAAGTTTTTTTTTTAATTTTTTTTTTTACTGTATATTCACTTTATGTTACAATCCTTGAAGCTCGATTTGTTGTATGGGCGTCGCTTTCACCCTAGAAAGCTACTGTTGTGTAGAAACAAGAAATTAGGGGTGGGATTAATAGTGCATTGTTATTTTATACAACAAAATGATGACATGAGTTAAATGTGAAATGCAAAATGTAAAACGTTACTCCGTAGTATATTGAGCTGAGGAGTTGTAGATTATCATGATCCCTTGCTTGATCTTGTTTGAAATGCTTGATTTCTCATACATTAGAAATGACTAGGTATCTTTGTAAACTATCTCCCTAGTTAGAAATTTGATGTCACTCGTAATTTAGATTATAAATGGTTAAATATCTCAATGGTATTATTAGGTAGTGAACTAAGTTTCTTACTCAGGCTGACTTTATGAACAATGCACCCAATGTTCAGCACCCAATGCGATAGGATGCATTTGGGCTGCCAATAGAGCAGCATGCTATTGATGTATGTTTTTTAATTTTATTTATTTTAAATCCTAGGACATGGCTTTATCACATTTTTGTTTACAGTTTCTTTTTGTCACAAACTATGGCCATCAGGTTGAATGTTTTGTGATAATAATTAGGTGATAAATAGTATATTGTTTTGTGTGAAAAGTTTGGTCTTTGATATGAGAACCCGCCGTAAAAAAAAAAAAAACAAAAAAAAGTTTACAGTACCTTTTTGTGTGAAAAGTTTGTCTTTGATATGAGAGCCTTGTTTAAGTATTTTTATTTTTATTTTTATATTTGGTTTTTGCAAAATGAGAGTCCAGAGAGATAGTTTCTTCATCTGAAATCAGTCCACAAATAAAGGAACAATATCTCATCCCTCATTTGGAAAAGGCTTTAAGTATCAATTTGTAATTTGTTGTGTATTGAGTTTAGATAACTAGGCTTAATCATTCTAATGGGATAGAGCAGTTATATTTTGATTCGCTTCCACAAGATCGAGGTGATTAGTTTGGTGGAATTTGATTGTATTTGACTGATATTTAAATTTCAATATGCTCACTAATTAACCCCTCTTATATTATTTATACATAGAGTTTTTTCTCTAAATTAATTAAATAAGTGCAATAGTTTTGCTTTTGCTATGTAGCTTAATAAACTTATAGGTGATTAAGGAGTAGTAATACCTGAAACTGATATGAAACTTTGCTTTCTATTTTTTTTCTTTGATGTGATTTATTATTGGTGATTTCTCAACTTAACTGGGATGAATTCAATTTTCTAAATAAGAAGAGTTCTTGATGTTGATATTTTTGTTATTTGCAGATGAATTATTTCAGATTTAGTGTTAGATTCTAAAATACTCAGCTTCATTATTTTGGCTGTATTAATTTGCATTTACTGTTCAAATATTGCTTTCGTTATAACTATGCTGCTTGTTTGGAGTGCTTGCTTGTTCCAATTGTTTGTGCTCCCTATGTTCCCATTATTGTGAACTGTTATTAATTTTGGGTAGTGTTTTGCTTTTGTTTTTGTTTAGGCATGCCATGAGTATTACAGCTTGAGGACGACACTGTTACTGTTACATGAACTCCAAGATTTTCCTAACTGAGAGACTGGCTTCTTACATAGAATTGTAGGCTGAAAACTCTATTTTGCTGAAGAGCTATGGTAAATTGCATTTCTTGGACATGATCTTTGTGGTGTTTAATTTTGAGCTTTACATTTTTGTGAAACAGATTCTAGTTTAACTAGAACTTTTCATCAATATTGTTGCTGTTTCAGGATGTTGTGAAACAGCTTTACATTTTTGTGAAAGAGCTTTACATTTTTCATCGATATTGTTGCTGTTGCAGGATTTTTTCATCGCTATTGTGAAACAACTTTACATTTTTGTGGTGTTTAAGATTGATGTTGTTGTTACAGGATGCTGATCAAGCTCCATCTTGCGTTGTTGCTCCATAATATTGTTGCTAATGTTGTTAGTCCATGATGATGAGGATCTACAAACATCTAAGGGTGTTTTGTGAATTCAAGGCCAACAATGATTCGAAACAATATGAACTTTGCTTTACGCCCCTTGCAAGAAGAATAAGGAGCAGCTAATTGGAGATCGATTGATTGAAGTTTTTTTTTTTTTTTTTTTTGTTGTTGAAGAAATGAGCAGATTTATTCCACTAGCTAGTACACGCTAGTCATGAGTGAAGTGTAGGTTGGAATTATTATTTCTTGTACTACCTAATAGCAAACTCATTACAATGAGATATTGTCCATGTACTATAACATATTTATATGCAATAACAAAATTGGCTTAATTTTGCTGTGTATATATTGGTAATACTAGTATATACTAGTAAATTTTTAGTGTGAAATAATTTTTTTGGTAATTATATTCTAGATATTTTTGTAAAGAATCTGGACAAAAAAAAAAGTCACAAACAATGAGAATATAGACAGAAATAAGCGTCGCAAATATATAAAACATCTAATATATAAGACTATGGACACAATAAAACGTCGCCAAATTTGAGGTTTCAGACAAAAAAAAGCGTCGATAAACTTGAGAAAGTGCGCCAAAACTGAAAATTTCGACGCTTCGTATAAAAATTTGGACGTCTTAAAGCGTCGAGATTTGCGACGCTTTTTTGTGACGTTTAATTTTCTCGACCCACATATTTACGACAATTTTTGAAGCGTCGAGAAATATATTTTCGACGCTTTTTAGCGTCGAAAAATAGCTTGAAAAGCGTCTTAAAAAGATGGAAAAATAGCTTGAAAAGCGTCTTAAAAGGACGGATTTTCTAGTAGTGTATGTATATCAATCGGTACATTTTTTACTTATCATATAACTAATATATAAATTTAAACTTTTAGCTAGACGACGAGACAACGACACTTGGTGTTTCAACTTTTCGCCAAGTGTCGCCCCACGTAGGATAGAGTTATATAGAATTCAATTTGTAGGATAAAAAAAATTAGTTTATAATTCTATTTTCAATCAAATTTCGATAGAATTTTAGGATAAAATTGTTAATTTAGAGTTTTATTTTCGATAAAGTACCAATATTTCATATGTACACATTGAATTATTATTTTATTCCAAAAATAATTAGATTATAACTCTCATAAATTATCATATAAATTTATTTTTTGTATCATAATTTTTTTAGAGAGAAGGAATTAGTTCAAAATGCACCACATCTATTATTTATAATATATTCTAATCAATTTAAATAATATATATTTCACAATCTAATATAATTTTATTATTGTGTGTAGACCAATCATTGTCAATCAGATCTGTTCACAAGTCATTTCAAACAGGGTCATTATTTCAGGTTACGGGTCAAGAAATATTTTTCAACAATATTATTATTATTAATCATCACATGTCTATTACATAGCTTAAATTGTCACAAAAACACATCAATTCCTAACTAATTTTGTATCAACGATATATTTTAAAAATTTGACATATAGATTAAAAATTTATCTTAAAATTCAATAAACAACCCGGACATCGCACGGGCACAGAACTAATAAATAATTAAACTTATAAATAATTGAATTTTTGCATAACAAATAATATGATAAACGTGTGAACTAAAAAACAGCCGAAGTAAAGTATACATGCTAATATATATCAATGTATCATATGATATATTTTGTTCTGTCTAGTTAGAGATTAACCAAAGTAAAATAAAATTCAATAGTGCTACTATATGTACAGTTTCTAGTATACTTTTTGTTTTAGTTGGAACCGTACAAATGTAAACTTGATTTTTTAAGGGTAAGAAAACAGAATATATTATGAATCCCTTCTTATGAGGGAAATTCCTAATGCATGCATCAGAATTGAAGAAATAATAGAGTATAAAGATAAGGAAGTACAAAGAGTAATGTCCATGTAAACTTACTTGTATGTCATTAATTCTAATGCATATCTATCTAGAAATTAAACTGTACGTACAAATGTGAACTTGCTTGTACGGATTCTAATGTAATGGGTTTAGAGCTTAGGTGATGGGTACATTTGGTTCATACCAATACTTTTAGGTATTAAATAAAAGGAAAAAAAAGCTTCATTTCAAGATCAAACCAAATATATGGTATTAAGATAGAATCAAGTTCCAAATTACATATGTTATGGTTTAATTTCAAATTCTAATCTCATACTATTCCATGCATTCGGAGAACTAATCACTCCTTCATTTGATTTCTATGGAGAAAATGAAAGAAATTAAACCCCTTGTATGGGGAGATATGCGAAATGGGCTGACATATTTATAAATACGGATATGGACTCAATATAATTATCAAATGGGCTAATATGTTCCATAAAACAGACATGTCGGCTTGTTGGTTCTTGGCACGTGGCAGCATCAGCTTGACACTTGGCAAGAAAAGCTCTGCATGTCATGTAGCCACCTGTCATGAAGAGTATTATAAATAGCAGGTTAAGCTTCATTAATGAGGTTAACATTTATTACTCTCTCTTCTTTCTCTCTCTAACTTTTCTTCTCTTTCTTAAACACTAGCTGACTTTATCATCGGAGTGGTTATCCCCGGATCACCCCGGGGTTAGCTAATCTCAGCTCATTGTGTAGGTTCTCAGCTTGCCGATAGGAGTATCACGGATCTCGGCTCGGGCTCTTGGGTTGTCGGATCCTGAAAGAAACAATTTGGCGCTAGAAGGAGGGGACAGTGATCACTTCTATCGCTTAAGAACCTCACATAAAAATATATATACAATGGCTGGAAATCAAGAAACACCTGTGATTAGTAGAGTAATAAATCAACTGATAGTAATAAGGAATGAAACAGCACAACCTGAAATTGAGGTAGAGGATGAGACCCACACTTAGGAAGGTAATCAATTCCACATGCCGTTAACCCCAGAAAGGCAAGTGGAGACAACAGTAGACCCTATGGTTGAGTTTACACTGGAAGATTTGGAGATAGCAGCTAGGGTAATGAGTGCAATGAGTAAGAAAAGGAAAGAAGTTGAGACTAACGAGGGGAAAACTAGGTCGTTATCTAATCTTCCCTCGGTCAAACTAAATTTATAAACACTTAACAAACCCTAATACGAGTATAGAGGCAAGTCAAGGGTCGAACCCAAAGGAACGGTAATGTTCAAGCACTTTCAATTATGCCCCTAAGCTAGGTCAAAGACAAAGGTAAGAGAGAATACTAACAACTAACAAAACAAGTAACCAAGGAAATAAAACACTAGGAACGGGGATCAACAAGTAATCATGTCAATTGCAACAACTTGGGAAGAGCATGCCAATCAAAGGTTGTGAGGACTAATGATAAGAGCAATCAATAGGAATCAAAGAGCTATCTCTTAATTGTTAAGCTAGGGTTCACTATGAATAACAAACTAAGAGAATCACAATCAAAACCAATCGATAATTGCAATTCCTAAATCAATTGTTCATGTCATTAGCAATTACAATGCAATCTAGCATAATTCTCAAAGCCTAATTGAATTACACACATGCAAACCTTCACTAATCACTTTAATCTCAACAATCAATCAACACAATTCCCAAATTAATCACAATTAATCAATCATACAAGTTTCACCCAATTCCTAGCCAAACAACTATTCAAGAATCATCATCTATCAACTAACAACTATGGAAATCAAGAATCAACAAAATATCAAGAACAATTACACTAATCAAGCATCAAACATCAAAATTAAAACAAACAAACATGAAATTAAACTAAGCAATAAGGTGAGATAGAGTTAAGAATGCTCATTGATAATAGAGAAGATCTTGAACACAATTATCACCCTTGTATCTTCAATCTCTCAATCACCATTGAAATCCTTCACTTTCTCTCTCTAAAACTACTCCTAATCTAGCCTAATCTAGAGAGAGAAGCTCTTAAACTAAGAGATAAACTATTCTAAAAACTAAGAATGACATGAATGAATGATAATAAAAACCCCCCAAAACAATTTATAAACAAAAGGAGAAAAGAAACTTAAAATCGTAAAAGACCCAGAAGTCCGCGCCTCGGAGAAATCGGCCGCGCCCGCGGACAACCTGGAAGCCGCGCCCGCGGCCAAAGCCTGCGCCTGCGGCCAAAGCCTGCGCCCGCGGGGCCAAGGCCCGCACCCGTGGGGAGCCCGCGGCCAGCCTGCGGAGAGTTACTGCCCAAAATCGGCAGAAATAGGTTGCGACAGATTTGCAGGGCCAACTTTGGAAGGCTGTAACTCACGTTCTAGGAATTGTATGAAGGCATGAAACTATCATTGGAAATCTATTCAAGTCTAGTTTCCAACCTAACTTGAATCACCTCAATCCGATCTATAGAACTTGAGATATGGCCGAAACAATGCACAAAGTTCCTTTTTGATACTTTGTAAGCCTTCATTTTTCTTTGTTTCTTGGATTGGCTTGACATGCGTGCTTGGATTCCCTAACTTGGATCCGTTAAATTCCTTGAATGCACTTGAGCTCCCTCCTTGATGATTAAATCTCGGGAAGCTCGACACACCTACAAAATAAGTCAAACGAACGGAGAAGCGAGGGAAATAGCCGAGAAATGAATAAAATAATAAGAAAACCACTAAAAGCACGCATTTCTCTAAAATAACACACAAACACGCAAACCAAGAATTTTTCCTTAAAAACACGACATAAACGACTAAAAACGAGCATAGAAATATAAAGAAAACATAACCTAAAGGTGCCATAAATGGCACGGATCAGAGACAGCCCAGGTTGGAGAAGGAGCGCTGATAACAAATCATGGAGTACAGTTTAATCAGGCAGCCAACTCACCACGGCGCCGCCGGGAAGAGTCACCGACAAGGACACACACAACCCCGCTGATGACAGAAGATCAATCCTCAAGTCATGCCGTTAGCACAAGAACCCAGCGACAGAGAAGTTCCCAAGTTGAAGGGCAAGCAGTACAAACTGTGGTTCAGTTAAGGGAATCACCATTTGCACAGAGTATCTTGGATCAGCCAATGGAGAAAATCAAAATGCCGACCTGTAGGTATGATGGAAGAGGGGATCCCAGCCGTACATACCGTCCTATGAGGGACATATGATCTTGTACACCAATTTAGATGCCGTTTGTTTTTAAGGTTTTTCCGACTACTTTGACTGGGGCTGCAACAGATTGGTTCAACAATCTGAGAAATGGAACGATAGATAGCTTTGAGAGGCTAATAGAGATGTTTGTGGGGCAATATATCATTAATAGTGTGCGACAGAGAACTTCAGGAGAATTGATGGCGGTGGAGCAAAGGCCAGATGAGTCTTTGAAGGATTACATTTGGCGATTTAATAATGAAGCA